CGGCTGTACCTGAATTAGTATTCACTACAAAAGTGTCGTTATGATGGCTCACCCCTATAATCCTAGCTACTCAGGATGCTGAGATCTGAGGATTGCAGTTCAAAGCCAGACAGAGCAATTCAACACCAAATAGCCAGAAGTAGAGCTGTGTCTCAAGTGGTAGAGTGCTAGCTATGAGGAAAAATAAAGCTCAGAGACAGCTCCCAGGCTGTCAGTTTTAAAGGCAAACATGTAGTACATTATCAAACAGATTTTGTTGACATTAAAAGTAGTCAGATGGTGACTGTATTTCTGCTGTTAAATATTAATATATTTAATATATTTACAATTAATATATTTACAATTTGCAGAGATAAAATTACGTCATAACCAGCTGCAGCTTACTCCAAAATTGTATTTTTCATATCATCACTAATAACTATCAGCTAGCAAATAACCTCACAGATAAATTCCTTTCTATTAAAGACCCCTTACTCTCTACATTGATAAAAATATTTAGAGTATAAAGAAAAACAGTCTTTTTCAACCTCCACGTAGCTAAAAGAAATGCTTATTTTTCCAGCACTGTTTCCTTAACAGTTTTTCTCTTTCCTTAACGTTTCTTGTGGAAAATCTTAAGCATAAACAGTAAAGAGGAAATATGCCATTGCTAGCTTCAATAATACACACCCAAGCCGAATTTCAGTGCATCTTTGTCTTTCCCCCATGATTATTTTGAAGCATATCCCACATAACATATAATTTAGGGTTTGATTAACTATCTAATATAGTTCCCTAGTATACCTTCTGGCAATTTATTAAGTAAATTATAATGGTGATGTCTCTCCAGAAAGATTACTTTTAAAAATGTTCTGTGCTTAGTCATTTGTGGTTTTATTATTCAGATAGTATGATTTTCTGTTCTCCAGTCATTTATTTTCTTGTTTCATTCTGGCCTATAATTATATGTGAAGTGAAAGGTATTTTATTCTGAGGCAAGGGCTAGCTTCACTAAAACATTTTTCCGGGTGTGACCATACAATAATGAGATCTAACACATCTAAATTAGCATTTGTCTTCAAAGCAGTCCCCTTGGCGGGTAATTTATTTATCCAGTGATGCAGCCTTTCAGAGAATGTTTTTGGATTGCCTCGTTTGTAATTGCCTTCAGAAATACTTTGAGTCACACAGAAAGCCAGGTCTCATTACTTTGGTCAAAACCAGTGTCTAGCAAAGAATATTATTGCATTTAAACACTAATGTACATTTTTGGATTTAACTCTGAAGGCCAAGACGCATGACAAAAAAGTTAAATTTCCCAGCCAGGAATTCTGATTTGAAATCAATGATACCATTGAAAATCATTGCAGACCATGGGCTCAACAGGGCTGGACTTCTAGGGCCAGAGGACCCCCCCCCCCCATAGCACCATAGAGATTCCCCAGGTTGGGGGAAGGGGCCATAGTCCTTCGGTTAGAGAGGGTATTGACTGGGGTCAGGCTGCACTCCTTCACTTGGGGGAACCTCATCCCATTCAGAAAGTTGCACATATCCTGCTGACAACAAGTGCTAGTAAACACCACGGAGGAGTCTCAGCACTGACCAGGACTGGTGTGCTTTGTGGTGACTGTGATCTCATCTAGACAGCTGACCTCGCAAAGTCACAGTGTTGCACTGTGAGTCTAACCAACCAGGTCTGTGAATGGCAGTGTTCAGGAAGATGTTTTTGCATGGGTCAGCCTGAGAGCATTGCACAGCTCTTTACTAAACAGCGGCTGGAGATCCCTCTGTCCAATTGTCGCTATCGGTTTCTCAAAAGAGAAATTCAAGCATGTGCTCTAAATTCCTGCTAGTTATTACCCAGAAGAAGGTTCACCTGACACACCCAGGTACGGCAGTGGGCAGGAGAAAATACGCTCTCCCAGAGTCAGTTAGGAGCCGGTACCTGGTTGTACACAGGGTCTAGAAGACATCATGGCTTTTGCCTGCCCCACATTGGAATTATCAGAAGAAGGCAAAAGAAAAGCTTTCCTCACTCTGTGTGAAGAATGCCAATAGCAAGTTGAGGGCCACAAAGAAAGCCAAGATTGACAGTCTAGTGAATAACTTGCCAAAGAGCAAAACGGGCCAGAAAAGAGCGACAGGTCGAGGCTGTGAAGCCAAGTGGCAGACTTGCACTTGGGGTAGTCCCTGCAAAGATGCCCTGTGCCAAGGACTGAAAGTCACCCCACAAAGCCACACAGGTCTCAGGGCTACACTTCATACCTCCATGAAGACAAGCACTGAGCACATAATTCTGGAAATATAGTTAGTTCTCACTGCAGAAATCAGCAACTGGACCAGGGGAGCAGCCATAGTTATGAGTCGGAGCAGCCTGGGTGCACAGAAGGGAATCTTGAGGTTGGCCTCAAGATTCTTCCCAGAAAACTGTGTCCTTTGACACTTCCCATCATGCACCCTTTACCCATAGTGGCCCTGCAGCTTTGACTTAGACCTTACAACGAGGTTGGAGAAGTAACTGAGGAGAGCACAGGTGTCTTCAAGTCTAGCCAGGAGCACTGCACACACCTGTCCCAGTAACACCTGCCTAGTACAGGACCCACCTCAGCTGCAGCCTGTGGCTAAATGCAAAAGCAGACACAGATGTCCCTTCTAATGTGACTTGATGCTAGGAACAGGCTGTCTCTTTTAGTATCTGTCAGATTGTACTGACATACTGATTTTTCAACATTTCACATCAGAGAATGGCCTTGCTATAAGCATGTGTTTAAAACTACTAAAAGATACATGAAGCAATAGAGAACTTGAATTTTGACATCTTAAAAGTTACCTTTAATTTCTACCCTGGGGGCTGGGAAAGTGGCTCAGTGGTAGAGCGCTTGCCTTGCATGCCTGAGGCCCTGTGTTCGACTCCTCAGCAATACATAAGCAAAAAGAAAAAAGCTGGAAGTGGCGCTGTGGCTCAAGTGGTAGAGCGCTAGCCTTGAGCTAAAGAGTTGAGGGACAGTGCCCAGGCCCAGAGTTCAGGCCCCACGATTGTACCTCCCCCCCAAAAAATAATAATTTCTACCCTGGCTGGGGGGGGTGGTACTGGGGTTTGAATATGAAGTAAAAGCCTTTATCAAAGAATAGAGAAAGGGATATATATCTTAATTATAAATATATGCATCTAAGTGAATTATACATTTATTTGAAAGTTACATTAGTGATAGCAACTGGAATTTACAAAAATAAAAGAATAATTGGTGAGATTAATTAAACATATTCTGTAATTCTTTGGAAAGGAAATAGACTTTGTTGTGGAAGATAGGAATATGAATATTCCTTATCATCTCAGTTTCCTAAAAAGTAAAGCAGAAAATTACAAATAGGAACCATAATACATCTCAATAATTGAAATTTTGTAAAGCCCCAATATAAACTTTTTAATATGTAATAATATTTGTAGGAGAAATGCATGGTAATTTTTCTATCTGAGTGTTGATACGTCAAAGTTCTTGGTTCCCCCCCCCCCCCAGTGTTAAAACTAAACCAATAATACCAATGATAGTTTTGAGAATTAATAGACCACTCCATGTAAAAAAACAAGATGAATTTTATTATAAACATTCTAAGTTTACTCCATTGGTTTGGGGGAGAAATGTATCTCATTGAAGGTGCTGTGTGTGTTCTGTTCCTTCATCCACTATTTTCTTCAGCTGTTTCTTCTTTCTTTCAAGCTTCTGGTTTTAAAATATGATGGTCTTGCTAGCTGACACATAAGCCTTGATAACATTCTATAGAACGCATGAGCTTTCTGGATTGTAATTATTTTTGGTGATATTATTTTTTCCTTGATGAATTCAGAAATTTTTTCCTCCTATGCACAGAAGTTTATATATATATTTTCATTGTACATTTCAAAGATGCCTTTTGTTTTGGCATTCCCACTTACATGTTTCTCTTCCTTTTCCTTTTAATCTCACAAATATATCACCCTGAATCTAATAATAGCTAGATTATAAAGGAAATACCAATACAGTGCATCTAATAATCTGAAGGCAGCAACAACGCTAAAAATACAGAGATGTGATATGCTTATAAATATTTGTGCAGGTATTTGTCAGGGAAAGATATTGATACAAGATGTTAACAGCTTACTCATGTTTTTGTATGTCATATAGCAATAATGAAGTATTTATCACTAATATAACAAGTCATTTAGGCTGAAGTAAAAGGATTAATATTTTATGCTAACTTCATTCATCAGAATTCAAAAAAATGAAAATATGGAAATTGAAGAAATTTACTTCTAGGTGTTACAGAAATTTTGTTATATTAAAAAAAAATCAGGGGCTGGGAAGGTGGCTCAGTGGTAGAGCGCTTGCCTTGCATGCTTGAGGCCCTGGGCTCAATTCCTCAGCACCACATAAGCAAAAAGAAAAAAAGCTGGAAGTGGCGCTGTGGCTCAAGTGGTAGAGCGCTAGCCTTGAGCTAAAGAGCTGAGGGACAGCACCCAGGCCCAGAGTTCAGGTCCCACGACCGGACCCCAAAAAAAAAAAAAAAAATCAGCCAGGTATGAATAGCTCACACTATAATCCTAGCTATTCAGGAGGCTGAGATCATGGTTTGAAACCAGTCTAGACAGAAAGCCAAGAGTCTCTTGTTTCCAATTAATCTACAAAAAAGCTGCAACTGGAGGTGTGGCTCATGTTATAAAACAACAGTTGTGAACAAAGAAAAGCCAAAAGAGAATAAGAGGGTTTGAGTTCAAGCCCCAGTACAGGCGCATTCTCTCTCTCTCTCTCTCTCTCTCTCTCTCTCTCTCTCTCTCTCTCTCTCTCTCTCTCTCACACACACACACACACACACATATTTTAGAATGCTTCAACGTGTCATATGAAACAGCCATGATATCTTATTTAGAAATTCAGGCTGAGTTATATTTGATTCGTCAAAGGCATGCAGGCATAATGGTTTGCTTGATATGAGATTGTTGGCATGGTAGAATGAAGCAGGTTTGCTTTATTCTTCCCCTGCAGGCAGAGCCCACAGACTGCAGATGAGAAGACATTCAGTGATTCGTCATTGCTGGAAAACCTCCAAAATAATCATGTAAGTGACAGAAAACCATTTTCTTCATTAATGGATGGAAACGAATGGATGTTTCTCAACTCTCTTCCATGTTTAGATATTTATTTTCTCAGGATCATTTTAATAATTACCAAAAACCCATTATTGCTAAATCCTTTTCACATGGCTGACATGCATTTGTGGTAGTTGAAAATGTAGTTGTAGTATTATCATTAATCAGTACTCTCGCTTTTCAAAGAGCTTAATTTTAAGTAATTACGGAACCAATTCGTAAGAAGCAATGTTGTTAGCAATCCTGTGTGTGTGTGTGTGTGTGTGTGTGTGTGTGTGTGTGTATGAGTTACTTGGCAATATCCTAAACTAGTGCAAAATCTGTAACAACAACTGAAGATGTCTGCATCCAATGTGAACATATCCTTATGCAGTCACCAATAATTCTTCACTCCATGAGATTAAAGTACCAAGTATTCTGGAATTTAAACAGTTCCTCAATACCACTCAAGCTCGGTATTTCAAAACTTAGATATCATAATCATTACCCAACAGTTTCCATTCTAGCCACAAATGGACTTATTGCCCCTCAGTAGGGCCATATCCCTTGGATCATCAACAAAATATAGCTTCAGGATCCACAAAAACCTCACCCTAATACAGCTCTTCTCACTTGTGTCCTCAGTTTCAGTAAAGTATGCCATAACCTGTCCAATTACTCCTTCTAAGAATTTAAGGCCTATCCTTAGTCTCTCTTTTTTTTCCACTGTCCAGATCTCCTATGAGCCACCAAGCCCTTGTCAGTACTGACAAGTGTCAAGTGTCTGCTATAATTCATTCTCAACATTTTTTCCCTTTGTCTAGACCACAGCAGCCCCAGTGTGGATTTCAGCCATAGCCTCCTAATCAGTTTCCTGGTTTGCCTTTTTCACTCCTCTCCAGTTGTTGCAAATGGTGGACAGAATGATACAATGAGAGTCCAGTCCCTTACCTGCCCTGTACAAGATCACTCTGCCTCCCTCTTCCTGCTCAGAGTTTGGTGATCAGGCCCCCAACCTGGTCTCTACTCTCTCCACCTGAGTTCCTTTTTACCTCTGCCTCCTGAGACCACACTGGCCTTCTTTGATTTTTCTCAAACACGCTTCATTTTCTCCTTCTTCAGAAGCTTTCCAGTTGTAGGCCATTCCTTGCTGCTCTCAGTTCTCTGTGGTCAGCCACATGAATATGTGTTTGTCTCAAGGATCGTTAGACTCCCTGAGACACCTCTTGTGATTTTCCCATATTCTCTTTAGAATCCTTAACACTCAGTAAATAAATCACACTTGTGTTTACTCATGTTCTATCTCCCCAGGAGTCTAAGCTGCCCATGGCTGGAACCATCTCTTAGATAGAACAGTCTCCCAATCTTCTGATTGACCTTTCCATTCATTTTATTTATTTTTTGTTTTTATTTTTTACTCAACATATGTTTGTTGGTTTTTATTTTTTTTAGTATAATTTGAATGACATTCCTTTTCATCAGAAGTTGGACAGGAAGCTGTTTAATTTTAAATATCTGGCTTTTTTTCTTCTATGAACTCTTAGCTCCTTAAAGGAGCTGCTTTTCCAGGCTTAAGGTAAAAGAGTTCATTATACAGGAATTCTCCCCTGTTCTTCTTTTAGTTAAACATGCAGCAGGTTAAGGTTACCATTTTTAGAGATAGGCGGGCAGAGCATTACAAAAAAATCCTGTTATCATTCCCCCCAAAAAGTAAGATCAGATACCTGAGACTTAATTCCTATCTGAAATTATAACCATGCAAGTGGCCATTTTAGAATTTCTCTCCTATCCACAAAGGATAGGATTCATCATCATTTCCCACTGTACTAGCTTTAGTTGACTAGTTCTAGTTGTATAAATGTTCAGAAGGTAAGCTAGGCACCTGTGACTCATGCCTGGGATCCTAGCTCCTCTGGAAGCAGAAATCAGGAAAATTACTGTTTGAGAACCAGCCAGGTTAAAAAAAAAAAAAGTTTATCTCAAAAGCAAAAGTTCGATGTAATGGTATATGCCTTCCATCCTAACTATGTCAAAAAGCATAAATAGAAGAATCACAGTACAAACCAGCCTGGGCAAAAAGTGAGACCCTATCTCATAAATAAACAGAGAAAAAGGGCTAGAGGTTTGGTTCAAGAGGTAAGAGCACCTGCCTCCCAAGTGTGAGGCCCTGAGTTCAACTTTGAGCATTGCCCCACCCTAATTATCTGGAAGGTGAATGAAGAAGTACAAGTTATAGTAATTTGGGTGGAAATATACTTTGTTCATAATACATGTTGGCTCCCTACAACTAATCTCACATTCCAAGCTTTTGTGTGTGTGTGCTGGTCCTGGGGCTAGAACTCAGGGTGTGAGCACTGTCTCTGCTTTTGAGCTCAAGGTTAGTACTCTACCTGCTAAGCCATAGCTCCACTTTGACTCATTCTTTCATGGTTACTTGGAGATAAGAGTCTCATGGACTTTCCTACCCAGGGTTGGCTTCAAACCATGATCCTCAGATCTCTTCCTCAGGCATCAGCTACCAGCACCCAGCCCAAGCTGCATTCTTAAGAGCTAGATGTGAAATAATATAACTATCAGAGTGGTGTTGAAGTGGTTAACTGAAAAGAATTAAAATTTTTGTGTTCCTTTGTCACAGCCAACCGCACCTATCATATGTGAATTTCTTACCATGATGGCAATCTGCCACACAGCAGTACCAGAACGAGAGGGTGAAAAGATCATCTATCAAGCAGCATCTCCAGGTACAAATGAAACCGCCCATGTAGTACTTCTGTGTGGAAAATAGTTCAGGAAATGTAGATTTCAAAATATGTATTTAATATGAAAAGGTTATAAAACAAAATTGTCTTTTTTTAAGTAAAATTTGCATTTACTAATAAGAAAAATCTCACCTTTCAGGATACATGTTAAAATGTATAACAAGATACAGGTCCTTTTTGGTATACAACATGAAGGGAGGTAAATAATAAAATTCATGTGAATGAATATATAATCCTAATTTCCTCCTTTTTAAATAAGTTTATACTAGTTATAAGTACCTTTTTCACAGAAGCAGATAGAACGGGAAGATCTGTGTACCTAGAAATAATGATTTTAGAACACTGATTTTTCCTTTCCTCTTTTAAGAATAATAGCAGGGCGCTTGTTTTCTTTTTGTTTTTTTTTGGGGGGGGGGGCGGTCTGGTCGTGGGGCCTGCACTCTGGGCCTGGGCGCTGTCCCTCAGCTCTTCAGCTCAAGGCTAGTGCTCTACCACTTGAGCCACAGCACCACTTCTGGCTTTTTTTTTTTTTTTGCTTATGTGGTGCTGAGGAATCGAACCCAGGGCCTCAGGCATGCAAGACAAGCGCTCTACCACTGAACCACCTTCCCAGCCCCAGGGTGCTTGTTTTCTATTTAGTTGAGTAAAGTTTTATACACTTTAAGAGATTGCATAAAATATTTATAAATTGAAATATCAATAGTTAACATGTAGGTTTCATTTTCAAAATATGATTAGGTAAAAACCAGTTTGATAACTGAACCTGTTAGGGAGAAGGGTATACATTTGGAAAGGGAAGCACTTTACTTTGACTGTGTAAGCCAGTGTCTGACTTGTACAACATGCTGAACTCCTACAAAGAAAATTTCACATTTCATCTGGTTAGCATAGAATCTATGGTTTGTTTTCTGATTTTTGTTTTGTTTTGTTTTGGGGGTCTTTTTATCCTCCAGTGTCAGTCACAGGGTTATGATTCATAGCCTGGATATTGTCCTTGAGCTTTTGAACTCAAAGATAGCCACAGCTCCACTTATGACTTTTTGGGTTGTTAATGGGAAATAAGAGTGTCATGGACTTTCCTGCTAGGGCTAGCTTTGAACTGTCATCCTCTCAGCTTCCTGAGTAGCTAGGATTACAGGCACCCTGGATTTGTTCCTATGTGTTTTCTTATCCCCACACCCTCTCTTGATCATGAAAAGTCTTTAAGGCAATAATGAAAGTAGTTCATATATAATGAAATATCCATTTTAAGCAATCTTCAATGACTAGTATTAGCTTTTCTGCATTCAACTTTATAGGAAGAAAAGATACAACTTAAGACTATTTTGTGCTATTCATTTGGAGAGAAGTTTCTAGAGAATTTTCTACACTAAGGGGCACTATTCTTTTTAGGTGCTGAGGACTGAACTCAGGGTCTTGCAACTGGTAGCCCTTCCACTGAGCTAAATCTCAACCCTCTAATTGGGTACATGACTAACAGTGAAGCTTACTAGTCAGAAACAGGATGCCAGGGTCTATATGTGTTTCAGAGACTTCAGACTATTATCTTTCGAAGGTTGGGGATGTCTGGCTGTGGGGCAGCATTTGCTTAACATGTACAAGGCCCTGAGTGCAGCCCCTAGCATTTTTTATTTTTTTTTTTTTTATTGTAAAAGTAGTGTACAGAGGGGTTACAGCTACAGGAGTAAGGTAATGAGTACATTTCCTATGGAGCATTGCTACCTCCTCCTTTGTTTTCCCTATCATCCCTTCCCTCCCCACCTCCTCAACTCCCTCCTCCCCCACAACCCCCAGCATTATCAAAAGAAAAAAAAAAAGATTGTTCTCTCATTCCTTTGGCATTTGTGTAGTTTAAAAAGATTTTACTAGCAGGTGCCAGAATGGAAAGACTTTTGATGAAAATGTATTTCATGCTCACATGAGTGTATTTCTCTGTCTCTCCTGTCTCTCGGACTTCCTTCCATCCTGCTCTCCTGAAACAGATGAGGGAGCACTGGTCAGAGCCGCCAAGCAGCTGAACTTCGTCTTCACTGGAAGAACACCTGATTCGGTCATCATCGATTCAGTAAGTTACGCATAATATAAGTTCCTTATTAAACCAAGTGATACATGTGCAGAGCTTCCAAGAAAAGGCTGTTAACTCATCGATTCAGTAAGTTACGCATAATATACGTTCCTTATTAAACCAAGTGATACATGTGCAGAGCTTCCAAGAAAAGGCTGTTAACTTAAGGATCCTAATAAAATAGAAGCCCACCCCCCAATTCTGTCCCCACAAGCAGTCGCCACATTCTCTTCCTCTGTCTGTTTCCTTAAGCATTTATACATCTCACCTCAAGTTGTGTTTCAAGCAGCAGGCTTGCACAGAGATGCCACAAAAGATCACAGCTGAGAGGTTAGGAGGCTTGTGATGAAACTTTATTACTCAGAAAGGAAATGCAGAACCACACGGACATTCTCTACACGCCCACCTAGAAGGCCATAGTGAAAAATATTGACAATACTGACTGCCAAAGAGAATGTGGAACCAGTGAAGCCATTATATATGGGTGTGAATGTGTAACATGGTACAATCCTTTCCTAAAACATTTTTCAAAGTTTTCTAATAATGGCAACCTTACACCTGACCCTACAACTATAGGACAATTACGTCAGACAGATTAAAGTTCCCATCTATCCACCAAAAGACTCGCAATGGAATATTCCTAGCATCTTTATGCACAGTAGCCAAAAACTGGAGACAAACCAAATGCTTATCACTAGGAGAATGAAAAAATCACATTGTGATATATTCCTACAAAGGGAATGGCTAAACAATGAAATGGAATGACTTACTGATTCAGCAGTGTGAATGAATCTCAAAAACATGATGTTGAAGAAAAAAAGAAGGCATACACAAAAGAGTGCATTTTTAATTTCATTTATATGCAGCTTGACATCAGGCAGAAGTGATTAATGGTGATAGAATTTAGAGCTGAGGTTGCCTCAAGGCAGAGAAGAGATTGATTGGGCAGCTGCACAAGGGAATTTCTGGATGGATGGATGGATGGATGGATAGATGGATGGATGGATGGATGGATGGATGGATGGATGGATGGATGGATGGATGGATGGATGGATGGATGAAGAAATGCTTCATATCTTCATCAGGGTGGTTTTTGCAAAGATAGTGCCTTTTTCAAACAGTTCAGTTTTCATTGAACCTTATATCAGAGATCTAATTGAACAGTTATTATCTCTTTTAAAAAATATTGTTATTTCTATGACATTCATACCAGTTTTCTTAACATCTTTATATTCAGTACTTATTTTTTTTGTACCAGTACTTGGGCTTGAACTCATGATCTTAGACTCTTGATTACATTTTTCATTCAAGGCTGGTGCTCTACCACTTGATCCACACCTCCATTTCCAGCTTTTTGCTGGACATTTGGAGATGATAGTCTCTCACATTTGTCTATTCAGGCTGCCTTTGAACTTTGACCCTCAGATCTTAGCCTCCTGAATAGCTAGGAATATGCTCATGAGTTATCACTGCCCAGCTATTATTTTTCTTCTGTGTTTTTCTAACTGAAAATTATTTCCTAAAGGTACATTATTTTTCCTTCAATACCTAAAGATAAGTCCTCTGCTTTTTTTCACTGCACTGTTTTGTTACCGTGACTAAGTATCTTCCATACCTTCTCGGTATATTCACACTGGATCTACTGCCTGTTGGAAAGTCTCACTCTTCTCACATATCTGGGCCCATGGTTTTCTTTCTCTTGTTTTTGACTGTTTCTATTAGCCTGCAATTTTATGTATGTTGACATTGTTATAATAAAATTTCATGACCAGTAATTATTCTAAGAAGCTAGAGTTATTTCCAACGCTGTATAATCTTATGTTTCATTCCTTCATAGCTGGGGCAGGAAGAACGATACGAATTACTCAACGTCCTGGAGTTCACCAGGTAAAATACCTACTCACCTACTCTGATTTGCCACAATAAGTTCCTGTCGATTTTACTTTTCCCCTTTTAAATTAGAATATGTGCTTTGGTTTTATTTATGCTTTGTTTAGGTGAAATGTTCCAACTTTTTTGTGGGGGTGGGGACCAGTCCTAGGGCTTGAACTGGGGTCCTGGGTGCTGTCTCCTTTCAGAGACATTTCAGTTCCAAACTATAGCAGCTACTGATCTGGCATGTCATTATACCCAAAGTGCCAGGATTTATGTGTAGTTAATGTGAATGTGGTGTTCTGATTGTGTGATCCCAATGTCTATTTGTCTTCAGGATAATGAAACTGAAGGAGATGAGCTGTCATCTAGTAGGAAGAAAGGAGAAACAAAGTGATTGGTCCCTCGCTTCCTTCCTTCCTTCCTTCCTTGCTTCATTCCTTCCTTCCTTCCTTCCTTCCTTCCTTCCTTCCTTCCTTCCTTCCTTCCTTTCTTCCTTTCTTCCTCTCTCTCTCTCTCTCTCTCTCTTTCTTTCTTTTCCAGTTATAGGGCCTGAACTCAGGGCCTGAACTCTGGGCACTATCCTCAGCTCTTCAGCTCAAGGCTAGCTCTCTGCCACTTGAGCCACAGTAGCACTTCTGGATCTTTCTGCTTTTGTGGTGCTGAGGAATTGAACTAGGGTCTCATGCATGCAAGGCAAGCACTCTACCACTGAGCCACCTTCCCAGCCCCTGGCCTGTTTATTTCTTAATGTCAAATAATAGAGGTCTTCAGTTAGAGCCTCTATTCAAGCCTTCTAAGGTATGCAGTTTCCCACCCAGTGTACATTCTTAGCACAGCTACCTTCTCAGCTTCAGGGTCTTTTAAGAGTGCATTGCCATCATAGGATAGCTGTGATCATAGAAACCAAATGATAGATGCTTAGGTAATTTCTGAAAGTGTTAGTGTTTTCCTATATTAAAATTAAAATTACCACTTATTCTTACTAAAAATCTATACACCAGTGAGTATTAACACTTGCTGGTTCCTAGGGAACCATGTTGTAAATTGCTACTCTGAGGTGGTAGATGGTACCTTTAAATATGTAGTATAAGCTAGGTGCTAGTGGCTCACGTCTGTAATCCTAGCTACTCAGGAGAGTGAGATCTGAGAATTGCAGTTCAAAGCCAGCTCAGGCAGAAAAGTCCCCATGATACTGTTACCCCCAATTAACCACTCAAAAATCAAAAGTGGGGCTGTGGCTCAAAGTGTCAGAGTACTAGCCTTGAGTAAAAGAGCTCAGGATCAGCACCCAGGCCCTGAGTTCAAGCCTCACAACTGACAAAAAGAAGTAATGTAACTTTCAAAAGTATCCACATGAGGGTACATGTCTATATGTAGAAGAATAAGATCATAATTTGTTGGAATTTATTTTTTCACTGTGAGTATTAAAATATGTGAGGCATGATAAACATACATGCACATACTCAGGCTGATGACCCATTATGGAAAACTTCTTTCTTTCAGTGCTAGAAAGCGAATGTCAGTGATTGTCCGCACTCCATCTGGGAAGTTAAGACTCTATTGCAAAGGAGCTGTAAGTTTTTATTTTTGTCTTTCACTGTTTTGATTTATGGTGGTTTATAATGTACGTGTTAGGCATTCTGCTGTGAAAATGTAACACAGATGTTTAACATGAAGTTGCTGACATCCATTTTTGTTGGTGTTTTATAATAATAGTTTTCAGCCTCTTCTGGCAAAATGTGGAATTCCTTCTGGGTAAACTTGGGGTGTTGAAACAATTTGGCTTGGGTTATTTTTATAGTTCAATTTTTGATACCTAATATTTGAGGGTTATGTTATGTAAACTATGTTAGTTGATGACTAAATACAGAAAGTATTTTTAAATTGTATTAGAATGTAATAAGACACTGGTAGTTTTAATCTAATTGTTTAAAAACCATAAAAGTGGTATAAAAAAAATTTTGATCACACAGTTGCTAGAATTTCTTCATGTAGTAATTACTGTTTGCTTTCCATTCTAATTATAGCAGAATTTCTTATTTTTAGTTGGTTTCGGTTTATTGGCAAGTTACTATGTTCAGAAAATAATCGTGAGTTTTCCTGGTTAAATGTACATTTACAGTCGAGGAAAAAGGAGAACTCAGCTGACCAGGGGCTTTTTTTTCTCTTTGGTGGTGGTGGTGGTACTGGGGTTTGAACTCTGGGCCAGGACACTGTCCCTTGGCTTCGTTACTTAAGGCTAGTACTCTACCACGGAGTCACAGCTCCACTTCTGGCTTTTTTTCCTTGTTTTCTTTGAGAGTTAATTGAAGATAAGAGTGTCACAGAGTTTCCTACCCTGGCTGGCTTTCAGCCTTGATCTTCAGTTCTCACCCTCCTGAGTAGACAGGATTGTACATTTGGCACCTTGCTCAGGGTCTCTCCCCTCCCCCACTTCGTTGTTGTATTTTCCTTCTGACTTGTCTTTTCCAGTTAGTTCCTTTAGATTTACCAGCTGGGAAGTTTACAGCTTTAACTATTTAGAATCAACCATTTTGCTATCTCACAGAAACTAGGAAATTAAACTTGAGAAACCTAAGCCTTGTTTCAAAAGTATTGAAATGCAGTTTTGAATACCTTGGTTTTAGAAGCTTTGGGAAGAATTATTTTGTTACAGAGTTCTTTTGGTTTGGTATTCCCATTGATTCAAACATATATCGTTTATTCACTGAAGATTTTTATATCCCCAGAGGTGGAACTGGATTTTTGGAGATAGGAAGATATTATATGAAAAAGGTCTCAGGAGTTTAAGACTAGCTAGGATATATATATACATACATACATATATATATATATATATATATATATATATATATATATATATATGGATAGATTAGAATAAAGTATTAAGGTACCTTATAAAGATCTTCCACATTCCAATGATAAAGTACCAAATGACAAGAGAATAAAAAGAGCCTTTAAACCTCTACTTTAAATGATAAGCTATCTCCCTGGTTTCCAACAGCCAAATTCTTCTTTTTAACTTTAGTGTTGAATGGTCTTTGGCCTAAAATTTCTTGTTTGGGAAGTTAAATCATTGAATAAAGAAAACTGAAAACTTTGGACTTCCTTTTGTGATAACCGTAGAGATGATTTGCGTACATTAACTTGATCTCCTATTGGCTATGAACTATGGTGCAGTAGTAAATAGGTATCTACAAGTGAAACAGTGAGGAATGTTTAAACACTGTCTGTACTTTGTGGTTTGGGGAGGAATAGCTGACCATGAGGCAGAAGGGTGAGTGTGTTGAGTAGTTGTTTTTCTTAATTCTCAAGAGCTTTCTCTTGAGAATTAAGATGTCCATTGGAAAGATGATTGAAGGCTGAAAACAGATGCCTGGCACAGCAACCATTGAGCTACTGATAGCTGTGCAGACAAGTGTGGATAAGTGTTGTGAAGATGAACTAAGGCAAAGAAGACTGAGAAGGAAGATTTAGGACTTGGTAATTGACTGCCGTGGGTGCTGAAGGGAAGGATTATCTAGGCTCATTAGGAGATTTCTACTAGGCTTAGGGAGTAGACTAAGTGATAGCCCATACCATGAGAAAGAGTTGAAAGCCACATTTGGGCCATAAAGCAGAAAAGCCTGCACTTCTCCAGGAGAAGCTGGGGGATGTGGAAGATAGATACAGTGTTAGGACTTAACAAGTGTGGCCGGAATCTAAAAGCAGGGAATTTTAAAAAATATTTTTCATGGTCTTTAAATAGTTGTACAAAGGAGTTGGTACTCAGCAAAGCAGTTTATGAATACAGTGCTCTTGATCAGTGTCACCTTCTCAATACACCTTCCACCTCACCCCGTCCCTCGCTTAATTTTTAGGTTATGGATTGGATTTTCTTTTTGGCCATTTAGCAAAGCAGTTTATGTATACAGTGCATCTTGACCTCGGTCATAACATCTTGAAGAAAGAAATGTTAGCCTGAGATCAGAAAAGAAATGAAAAACACAAAGTAGAAGAAATTAGAAAAGCATATTAAATTTTGAAACAGGATCTACAGAGCCTATTGATTTGTTGATAGAGTGAATAATCACCAGTTTTCCAGCAGAAAACCTAGACAATAAGACTTCATTAAGAAGACATTTCAGCTACTCAGGAGGCTGGGATTTGAGGGTTATGGTTCAAAGCAGCCTGGGAAGAAAAGTCCATGAGCCTCTTTTCTCCAATAACTATTCAGAAAAAGCCAGAAGTGGCACTGTGGCTCAAGTAGTAGAACACTAGTCGAGCACAAACAAATTGAGGGACAATGCCAGGCCTCGAGTTCAAACCACAGGACTGGCAAAAAAAAAAAAGAGAAAAGAATACATTCCAGCCAAGTAACAGTGGCTCACACCTATAATCCAAGCTTTCAGGAACCTGAGACTGGAAGCCCATGAAACTCCATCTCTAAAAATACCATCAGGGCTGGAGGCATGGTTCAAGTGGTAGAATGCCAGTTGAACAAGTAAGCAGAGCAAATGTAAATCCTGAATTCAAACCCAAGTTCCACCAAAATTTGAAAAATAATATATTCCAGGCCAGTATGATGATTCTCACCTATAGTCCAAGCTATGCATCAAGGAGAAAGAGGAAAATCAAAGTTCAAGCCTGAGCCCGAGGAAAAAAAGAAAAAATGTCAAGACAATATTTAAAAACAGGTTGATTATGGTGGTACACATCTTCATAACTTTAGTCCCACCTACAAAAGTGGCAGAGGTAAGGGGACTAAAGTCATTTCGAAGCTGGTCCCAAACAAAAAGCACAAGACCCTATCTGAAAAATAAATTAAAGCAAAAAGAGACTTCCCTAAACACACACCATGACATCATCCACTTACATGGACTCATTTGCTTGGACTTCAGATTGTATTTGGTCATAACAAAAGCCCAATAACCAATTGCTAAGTGAAAATTAAAGGAAGAGAAGCATGGCTTTTGGGGGGTTTTACCTTACATTAATTATACAGAGAGGGGTGTCATTATGACTTTTTTTAAACACTGAGTTCAAACCCCAATGCAGAAAGAAAGCACCTTTACAATGAAATTAAAAAAAATAGAGAGACAGAGCTGGGAGGGGAAGGGAATGAAAGAAAGGAGGGATGGAGGGAAGGAAGGAAGAAGGGAGGGAAGGAGGAAAAGAAAACATTCTAGCCAAGATAGCATAAATGTTCATCTATCACTCTATCTCCTCCATTCCAGAGCCATGATGGATAAAGTTAGTATAAAAAATTTTTTTTAAATAGGCAAAATCCAAATGGCTCATTAGACTGAAGTCTTGAGCTGGGTGATTGGGAGTCCCAGTTGTAGGTTTGGAATCCTGAGTCTTACTGTCCTCAGAGTTCTAGACTCTCGCACAGTGAAAGAAATTCATGCTTAGAATATGGGAAATTAACTTCTGCCTTTCTTAGACAGAATTCTAAGCATGAATTTCTTTCACCCGTGTTATATGCCTCGCAGCATCATTTACTGTGATTCTCTACTTTTACCTTGCTGAGGGCCAGGACACAAGACAATTCAATCCAGTGAGGATTTTTTTATAACCATAAATTCTGAATCTGATCCTTTGTTAGTATGTATTTTAATATTGAATTTTAATATTTTTGTTATTGGTGGAGCTTGAACTCAAGGCCTGGACACTGTCCCTGAGCTTTTTTACTCTAGCCCCTTGAGCCACATCTCCAATTTGGGTTTTCTTGATTAATTGGCAATAAGAGTTTCACAGGCTTTTCTACCTGGGCTGGTCCTGAGTAGCTTGGACTATAGGCATGAGATACCAGCATCAGGCTGGAAACGCCCTCCCCCACTCCCACCTTTTTTAGCTCCTAGTTACGTACCACATATTTGATGTAGATGAAAGAGTGTTACCGTGTATTTTTTCACAGGTAAGCATGGCCATCTGATTGTGGTGGTTATTTAAAAACCTAGAATCCATGTACTCTAGAAGGTCATATTTTGGTTCTCTGCTTTTTGTCAGCAGGAGTCTAAGAAAGGCAGAAGTTAATTTTCCATATTCTAAGCATGAATTTCGTTCACTAGGATGTTTGGATACACTTACAGCAGAAGTTAATCTCCCTAACTTTATCCCATATCACTTCAGTGTTCATGTTTTTAATTTTCAGAAGATTTTCTTAGTTTGGAAATGGGCTGTATTAATGTCATTGAAAATTTCCCTAGCCTCTGGGGGGAAAAAGAAAGAGTTCATAAGTTATACCTCCCTATCCCAGAAAGGGGCCAAGAGGGGAATTATTATCATTTCCTCTTGCTTTATGCCCTTCCCCATTACACCATTGAGAAATGAAAAGAAATTCATAATTGGGGCCTAGGAAATCCCACCTGCACTGAGGTCACTATGTTCTGTTTCTCTCAAGGGTTCTAAATCATTCTCCATTAGCCAGCTTCCAAATCTCAGCCCTGAGCCTAGAGACCCCAAAGTGGGTAAGACCACTGAGAAAGCAATTGCAGGTAAATGATTTATTTTTTCCTGGTCTAATAAAACCGTGAAGGCAGAATACTAAAATTCTTTTTAAAAAAAATTAAACCAAAGCCAGAGAATAGCTAAGAACAAATAGGCAATTTATAAAGGAGTGAAAACTAGAGAAACATAAATGGTGCATAAAGCTGAAGCTGAAAGAGACTTAGACAAATGATCCGGTAATTTTATTTTATACATCAAATCAACAGAGTCTGAAAGTGGCACCACCAAAAATACTCAGCTGTATCAGGAATTTACAGTTAGTCTGAAGGGTTCCTCAATGTAAATGTGTTCCTCCATGAACATGATCCAGTTAGAGGCGTTATGGCTCTAAAAGGGTCTGTGGTCAAGTGAGGTTGTGGAATGTATCATGTAGCCTTCTGAGAGTTCTGCTATGCACCAGGACATTTTAGAGACCCCATGAAGTTTTGCAACAGATCAAGCTCTTAGGCTTTGTACAGTACAGCATTTCCCAAACTTTCTTGAGTTCTGGACCATTCTTCCTATGAATACTTTTACAATTTTCCAAAACCTGCAGGAAAGTGAAATCTCCCTGTTTGTAGGAAGCAAGTGAGGAATTGGTAGAATATGAGGTTTTGAACATCGGAGTAACTAGACATTCTGAAAGAAGATGAAGATAACAAAACTAGAATCTTCCCACAGGATCCCTCCCATAGTAGCCACAGGTGATTGTTTCCAGGGCCCCCACAGACACTAAAATCCATGGAAGGTCAAGTCTGCTATATAAGATAGCCTAGCATTTCATATGTACCTGTTGTTCTTTAAATCCTATCTAGATTACTCATAATAGCTAATACCGTATAAATACTATGGAATTATTCCGTTATATTGTATTGTTACTAAAAAGAAGAAGGAAAGTTTTGTACAGACACAACCATTGCAGACCTAACTTTAATTTCTGTCCATGATTGATTCAGTCCATTGACAGAAAACCCTGGTATTCAGTGTTATGCTGTATTTCTTCACGTCTTTGCGGAATTAGTGCTGTTCATCAGTGAAAATATTCTGACTTAAAAAAAAAATACGACAAGTGATGGATTGCTTTTATACAGACTTGCTACTAAAAAGGTTGCCAACATCAACTTTATTAAAACTCAGAATTCTTAATGAAGTACATTATGCATCTGTTTTCCAGGACACTGTAATTTATGAGCGACTTGCAGAGACTTCAAAATACAAGGAAATCACCTTAAAGCATTTAGAACAGTTTGCTACAGAAGGTGAGCATTTATATGGGGAAAAAAGCTGGGTTATTACACAAAGAAATCATATACTTTTTTTTTTCTTCTGTTGGTCTTGGGGCTTGATCTCTGGGCCTGGGCGCTGTCCCTCAGCTCTTCAGCTCAAGGCTAGCACTCTACCACTTAAGCCACAGTGCCACTTCTGAAATCATATACTTTTGATGTCTCACAGGGTCACATATTATTTTACTTAGAGATTCTAAAGGAATCAGTTATTATTGTTAACTGAGCTTCTACTGTGTGCTCTTCCCACTCTTTTTTTTTTTTTTTAACTTTTCTAAAACTGTTTTTATTAAAATGCTGAAGTGGGGTACTGGTAGCTCACAGCTGTAATCTCAGCTACTCAGGAGGCTAAGATCTGAGGATCTCAATTCAAATCCAGACTGGGCAGGCAAATCCATGGGACTCTTATCTCTAATAAATTACTAAAGAGGAGGAAATGGAGCTGTGGCTCAAGTGGTAGAGTGCTAGCTTTGAACAAAAGCAGCTCAGGGACAGAGCTAAGACCTGAGTTCAGGTCCCAGGACTGGAACACACACACACAAGTATTATGAGACTGTATCCCCTTGTTTTAGGTGACAGGAATTAAAAACATATACTTTTGGGAATGGATCCCATTTGTAATTGAAATATTTTACCTTGCAAATCAAGCAGTTCCTTGGGGAAAAACACTGGAGTCCAAGAACTGGGATAGTCTAATCTGAGTACAGGAAGGAGATAAACTTAATGACCATTGAAATAGTTTGGCAGTTTAGTTTCAACTTGGAACAGTTTAGCTTTAACCACATGGCTCTCTGTGGGAGGCCTAAGAGTGCCTGGTAAGTGAAGGTAGCCTTGTCTCTGTCTTCATGGCGTACATGTGTGAGGCAAGCAGCATGTGGTCTGGAGAGATGATACAGACAAGATGAAGGATAGTGCAGGGCAAGCATTAGGATCAGTTACTACAAGAATTTCTATGTGGCAACCGGGGCTAGATCTAAATCCCCTGTCTTGGTTTTCATTCCTCTTTCAGCTAAGAAAGTGGCCAATGGTCCCAAACTTGATCCCCAATCAATTCCCCATTTCCTTCTTATCCAAGCTTGAGTAAAGATAGGAATGTTGTTTTTAAAACTAGATAGATAAATAAACTCTATGGGAAAACAAGGGTGGGCTCTGAGAAAACAAAAATCCAAAGATCTTTCTCCTAGTTCTAAAAATAAAAGCGTGTTCCTAGTGTCCCTCAAGGTCAACTTTTCTCCACTGGGGATGGCTGGGTCACACCACCTGACACACAGGATTGGCATGGGTTGTGTTTTGTTGAGGAATGGAGACACAGTGGGCATCCGTGTCCGTTCTGATCCTGGTGATACCCACACACTGGCTCATTGACAAAGACTTGAATTAGCTTGGTCCCATCTTCACCCCAATGTCTGTGGCTCTAGGATGAATGGACACTTCTATATATATCATGGCTGCCCCCGATAACTTTTCCAGCCAAGTTTCCCAAAAAGAAAATGCGGACTCACAGATTTCATTCCACTCTCAGTGACCCAGTAAGAGGGCTGGGTACTCCACGTTCTTTGCTTCTTGTTTCTAATGTGTTCCCCTGATTATATTTGATTGGATTAAAGGTCACAAGGTCTGGAGTCTAGTATTAGTCATTCTGAGATAAATGACTAGGCGTGAAGGTTTGACTTCTTCCTTGGATGACTGACAAATGCTCTGTCTGTCCTCACTTCCAGTCCCAGTTAGCTACTTTTGTTTGTTTTTGTTTGTTTGTTTTTGTTGGTCATGGGACTTGAACTCTGGGCCTGGGCACTATCCCTGAGTCCTTTTGCTCAAGGCAAACACTCTAACACTTGGAGCCACAGCTCCACTTCCTGCTTTCTGGTGGTTAATTCGAAATAAGAGTTTTACAAACTTTCCTTCCGCCAGTTCAAACAGCGATTCTCAGATCTCAGCCTCGTGGGTAGCTGGATTAAAGGCATGAGTCACCAGCACTTGGCTCTCTCTACTTTTTTCTGGCTGAGGTGAAGTGAGTCCTAAGGGGCAGTTACTTCAGGCAACAGTCTTGACTGTTCTGTCAGTCTGTGTCTCATGACTACTCTTTGCTGCTCTGTCTCTCAACTATGGTCTTGTTACGCTACCTTTATCGTGGGAGAGAACAGAAGTAAATATATTTGAATAGCCAAGTAATAGGAAGGTAGATCAGGTAGATCCTGCCAATGGTTTCTCTCTTCCTTCCCAATTAGCATCTATGAATCCATCAGTCTGGCTCAGCCACTGTGCCCAATATTGGTTATAGGTATATGGAACTATATGGGTCCCTGCCATCCAGGAGCTTCAACCTAATAGAGGAGGCCCACAAGAAAAACGATAGAACATTGTCATTCCTGTTGTAGGAGTGTTTGGAAATTTTTGCCTGTGGAGGCTAAGGGAGAGGAGAGTGCCTCAAAACAATGCTTTAAGAACTTGTTTTTGAGACTCACTATGTTGCTCAAGCTGATGATCCTCCTGCCTCAGCCCCTAAATTCTGAGATTACATTAAGCTAGACCACTATGCCCAGCTTAAAGTTGAGTCTGAAAGTAGATACAAGTCTTAAGTAGACAGTGTAATGATGTTTGAGGGTGGATTGGAGGGCGAATGCTCGTGCCGAGGCTGTGACACAAAGGAAATGAATGGTAGAGAATGGGGCAAAGCACTGACTAAACTTGTGTGAGCCATACTCTGGGGTTTAGATTTTATCCTGGGGAATAATGGAAGGATTTCAAGCAAAGGAAGAGGTTGATAGGATTCAGATTTTTAGAAAAGTCTAATTGTGGAAGATGGAAAATAAAAGCAAGCTACCAATTTTGAAAGCTGGATGAACATTCCCCCAAAGCAGACACGTACAGTTTTTGTCATAACTGAATTCGACTTCAGCAATTGAACTGAAGCCATCTTTTCAGAATGAAACTTGTTTCTTATCATGGAAATGTTGGACTTGGATTTGTGAATAAAGTCTTCCTTGGTATGTCGGGGTCTGTGCTGCCTTTTTCAGGGCTAAGAACTTTGTGTTTTGCTGTGGCTGAGATTTCAGAGAGTGACTTCCAAGAATGGCGAGCTGTGTACCACCGAGCATCCACATCTGTGCAGAACAGGCTGCTAAAGCTGGAGGAAAGCTACGAGCTCATTGAAAAGGTGCGTGGGGGACGTTTGTATCCTACAGTAGGAAGTTAGGTTTCCAGGAACTTTCTTTCTGGCAGGGACCAACAGAATGAAAAGCAAACTAGTTTGACACAACATCCAATGTTGATTCTCAACTATGCATGAACATAGTTTACATTTTGCTGTAAAATCCCTGAGATTGGGTATTACTGTGCAGTGTCTTTACTCTTTCCAGGTTAGTCTCTGTGCCAGTGTTTTTCCATTGGGCTACCCTGCTGTGTTCCTGGGTCTCTGTCATTTCTGTATGACCTGGAGATATCCTTGTTTTCCTGATAAAAAGTCTAAAAGTGATGGATGTCCTGTAACTGGTGCTGTACCAACAGCAAGAAATTTGCTTGTTCAGTTAACAAAGACATTTTGTGTAGAATGTCTAGTCCATTGGAATTTTAAAAATTATTCCTATTTCCAGATGAAGAAATCAATGAAATAGGGAGGTTAAGTGATTTGAAGCTTGCACAACTCCTCATGTTCCCATGTTCATGCTTTGAAGCATTCAGGCACCTTACCTCAAGCATTCCAGTCTCCATTAAGTAACAACCTATTGGCTGAATTCCTCCAACTGTTCTCCTGCTTATGCAGCATAGAATCCCGCCCTTGAACTCTGGTTGACTTGATCTTTCTCCTGATAGGTCAAGGCTGACATTTGTTTTTCCTTCTTGACTATTAGCATAGGTACTTCTAGCACATCCTGTCTGGGAGGCAGCCACAGGATTGAGCTCCAGGACTGTTTTCCCTCCAGCTTCCCATGTGACTGCCCCTTTACTACATAACATCAACTTCCTGCCCCTTCGTGTAACTAGTCAGTTCATGTTCTAGGACAGATGGTTTTCTGTCATACACATTTGACACATGTAACTCAGTATCTTGAGAACACTTTTAGAGAAGGTAGTTTGCATCTTGCATTATGTTTTATGGTATACATCCCTTCTGTTTTATGTATTTTATAAGGGAAAATATCCAGGTTCATATAAATGTGGCCATTTATATAGAAAGTGATAGGTATGTACATATGTATCTAAATATCACCCCCTAATATTTGAACTCAGTTTTTATCCTGTCTCTAACATGTACAATAGCATATATGTGCCTTCCCCCTGCCCATACTAGATTTTAGAGGTATATACAGAGTTGCCCTCTGCCTTGCTCAAGGGGCTCTAGGAATAAAAAGCAAAACATCTCTATACAACACTGTGATTCTCCTTTCATCTAAGCAATAATAAATCTTATCTACATGTGTGTGTTGCTATTACTAATTAAGGAAGCAAGAGTTCTTGCCACTGTTAACAAACACCCATTGTAGTGTATCTATTACTTTCCAGCTGAATCGCCTTGGTTGCTTTATCTGTAAAATTAAAATGGTTATAGTTTTGATAGTGCTTGTTATCAATTGACTTAATGAAAATGCCTTTATAACTAGAGCATGTGCATACTCAATCACTGTGGTGGTAGGGACAATATGTCTGCCTCTTTCTTGATACTACCTCCCAATATAGTTATGTTTATTTCTTTGAAACTTCATGTGCTAAAATAAAATGATCTGACCCCAGAACTCACCACTTTTAATCTTTTCAACCAAAATCCTATGTATTAAAGTATATTCCAGTTGAAGCACAGCATAGAAAATCCTGGGGCTAAATGTTTAGTGTACTAAAATTCTTCCTCCTAGAGTTTACAAATTAGATGTTCTTGGATTAACAGTTGTTATGTGATCTAAAATTTTAGGACTTCCTATTCACTGAAGTAGACATTCAATCTTCTTCCAGCAGATGGCGATCATGAGTTACATTGAAATCTGAAGTTGCCAGAGAATCTCTATTAAAGCAGTATTTTTTTCTTTCATTTAGTATCCAAATAGAGAAACCTCCCTTATGACTTTCCCTTAACTAAAAATAAGTTAAATGGGGAAATTAGAAATAACTCATTTTTATTTTCTGATAAGTCATGTGCTGTCATTCTTGAGAAATCTGAGATTTGCAAAGCTAGAGATTGGGTCCCCTTAACTCAGCCAGCCTGTTTGTTTTCTCTGTCCTTTCCTACTCTAAGATCGGGTTCTCATGTATTGTTTCTTTAATTAACCCTCATTAATCAATTAAAATGTACTAATGTGAGAGCTGCACAAGTATAGCCCTTTAGGTGACATTCTGAGCAAATGCCCTAAGTGAAGAATCCTGAAGAAGGAATCTGAGGAGGGACTAACAGACTTGGTTCAAAAGATGCTTTTAGAGATATAGTAACTCAGCATGGCCCTCAAAAGGTTATTTGACCAGTTAAGATGTGAGCAGAATTTTTTTTTTTTTTAAGGAGAAAAATTGCATAGGGGTCTCTGTGACTGAGCTATTTTTCTAAAAAGTACTTCTGCCAACTTCTGGTCCTTTGAAGATTTGCAGGGTTGTTAATATGTCACTTTCCTGGTCTGAGCTCTCCTCTTTGTTTTAATCAGCTGGGGTTGGTGTTCAGTAGCAGCTGTGGTTACCACCATGAAAACCACCCTAGGGAGGCAAATTTCAACAAATCAGACCACCAGTCTTTCTGGGTGCCACCATGGCTTTCTATTTAACTGTCACAGGCTTAGAGTGTCTCCAGTTTGCTTTCTTCCTTACCCGCTTTAACTGAGACATGTTGATTATGCAATCTTTTTTTACGTTCTTGGAACCTGCTTTTATGCAGACCATAATTCTGGATTTGGTATCTAAGATGGTGAATTTTTAAACCATGAGACCACCTTGTCCTCATGGTGGTCCTAATATGGTTTTCACAACTCCGGGGCTCTGTGGAGCAGTTGGAAAGCCATAGAATGTTACGTGTGAGTGAACTTTTTTAGAAAATGTACTTCCCAAACATTCAGAACATTGGAGTGACCATACAAGATAATTCTGAATGTATTTGTAGTAATGAAGCAAAATGCCCTCTACATGGGAACTAATAATTACCTCTAAAACATTCAGAAGGTTTATACAGATTCCCAACAGCCCCCTGCCCCAGAAAAAAATCCAGAAATATATTATAAAATAAATGAGCTCTTTATAGCGTAATTAAGGTTGTAATTTAAGTGTTGTTCACTGTCTCTTATCTCTCCCATATGTGTTCAAATTCATAATTTGGTTTTTCTTTTTTGTTCCTTAGTAGACAAATTTTTTAATTTTTTTGTTTTATTTATTTATTTATTTTATTGTGAAAACACCATACAGAGGTGTTACAATTACATGGGCAAGATAATGAGTACATTTCTTATCAAGCACTGTTGCCTCCTCCTTTGTTTCCCCTTACCATCCCTTCCCATCTCCCACCCCCCTTCCCGCCTCCTTTCCCCCAGCCAAAGATGTAAAGTTGGTTTTTCAACATAACATCTTGTACATCTCATTGTTGCAATGGGTCCACCTGTATCCCTATTTAAATGATTTGTTTTTTCCCTTCCCCTCCACAAATTATACCAATATCAAATACAGTGAAAGCAGGGGTTATACCATGGGGGAGGGACATACAAAGCAACAAAGAAATCATCCTATAAATATGTTAGAAACAATCACATGAAAGAAAAAACATTTGAATACTTATCTTGGGGTTCATTTCGCCTAACATCAACTTATCTGACCTTTTCTGCTTGTCTCAGACATACACTAATTATTGCAAATAAGGGAAACCATGGGACCTATGTTTCTTTGGGCCTGGCTTACTTCACTTAATATAATTTTTTCCAAGTTTTTCCATTTCCTAACAAATGGGGCAGTGTCATTCTTTCTGATGGAGGCATAGAATTCCATTGTGTATATATACCACATTTTCTTGATCCATTCATCTACTGAGGGGCATCTGGGTTGGTTCCATATCTTAGCTATGGTAAATAATGCTGCAATAAACATAGTTGTGCTGGTAGCTTTAGTATGGTCTTGTTTGTGATCATTTGGGTAAATGCCCAAAAGTGGGATTGCTGGGTCATAGGGGAGCTCTATGTGGAGTCTTTTGAGGAACCTCCATACTTCTTTCCAAAGTGGTTGAACAAATTTACACTCCCACTATAATCAAGAGTTCTTGATTATAGCCATTCTAACTGGGGTGAGGTGGTATCTCAGTGTTGTTTTGATTTGGATTTTTTTTTATGGCTAGAAAGGTTGAGCATTTCTTCATGTGTCTATTCGCCATTTCATTTTAATTGAGGCTTTATTCCTTTCGGCGTTACAACTCACACATATGCAGGAAAAAATATACCCAAATAGGCTGAAAAATAGAAGAAAATATTGGCATATGTCTTGGGTTCAGTGCTTCAGGGCACTGAAACATGCCACCTTTCCTCCAGCCTCCCACCCAGAGAGCTACACGAAAAGAAGAGAATGTGGGAGGTTTGAAAAAAAATCCTCAGGATACTGTTGCCAATACTGAAAAGCATTAAGAAAAGAGAATTGGGGGTTTTTAATAAACCTACTTATAAAATACCGTCATCCTGTCCGTTACTAGGATGCACTGCTCATGCTCCAATGTTTGAATTCGTATGGTAAACGTTTTAGAATAGTTAAAATTCTACTTCTACCATTACAATGCTCATCAAATAATTCAATTAGCATTAGATGCTTCAAGAATTCATTACTGTAGCATCTCCCCCCCCCCTTTAGTAAAGATAAGGCAAGAATGACACTTATTACTAGAAAAGTGTAGCTTATCGAGCAGCCATAAGAATGTTGGCAGAGATGGCATGCAAAAGGGACCACTGAGAGTCACAAGCCGCCGCCATTCTCTTGACCCACTTGGAGGCAGAGGATGGCAGCTCCCCGCTGGGGACCGTGGGCAGTGACACCTCCAGGTCTCTCCATCACCACCTGAGAGAACTTACAGTTGTCTCACTCTTTTGACGACAGACCTGACCTCTTTTGTCTTCCTTAACCTCATTCTTTTGAGAGATGCTGATATATATTTGCACGCATCATCTAAATTTAAGACACGGCTTGCACTATTGATCTACATTTTGAAAAAATCAGTGA